AGCCAAGCGCTATTGCGTGCAGGCTACTCAGCAATAGGCCATACTCGCACTATCAAACAGGTGATAGCGATACTCGCGGAATCCAACCAACTCCAAGATGTAGCCATCATATATTAGGAGAAAACATTTCATGAAGTGGAGATGTTAGCAGTCAGGCAGGCACTGCAGAAGCAGGAAATCGGTGCAGCTTTAAAAACATACCGGAAGATATGTGCAGTGGTTGCACAGCAGCTGTTGTTCTTCAAATAAAAATTGATAGAATCCCAATAAATATTGGTGCAAGGCACCCCTCTTAATTAGACGCACAATCTCTACGATGCATGTAAACAGGAGGTGTTCAGGGCCCTAGATTGGAAAGAGTTAGGGATTGGACTCATTAGAAGTCACATCAGTAACAGCTGATTCGCTGACGACAGTGCGTTGATGAGGCTCTCGGGAGCAAGTTGAGTAATTGTGGAACTAGACAAAAAAGCACAAGTCATGGTTTGAACATCAATATGCTTAAAACTAAAGTAGTGCGCTAATGTGATCGTTTTTATTCTGGTCGGTAACTTTCCAGCACCAGGACTCAAACCACGAACCTCCTGCATGAAAGGCTGGCGCCTACCTTTACGCAAGCGCTGCTTAAAATTAACGTATAGTACAACATATTCGAGAGAGAACGGGGCTTTGCGATTGGCCACGAGACACCTGGGATTTGTAGAAAGATACGTCTAATTAGGAGAGGCATTAACCGTGCAACCGAAGCATGAGAGCGAAATATTTAGAAAAAGATGGATGGATTTCAGCACATTCTGCAAGAATTATCTTTTCATGAATGGTAATCTTTCCCTATCCCTAAAGACGAAGTAAAAAGATCCATCTCAACTGTAGATACCTACGGAACAGTTGTCTGAGTGCCTACAAAGTAGGTTAAACTCACTTAGAGGACGAAGCTGTAAGCTATGGAAAGGAAAACGATACGTGTCACCATGAGAGAGACAGCAAGATAGCAGTATTGGTCAGGGAACAAACGAGGGTAATGAATATCATGATTGAATTTATGAAGAAATGGACATTGACTGAGTATAAAGCACGTATACAGGACAACCGCTTGCATTTTTGGGTAACTCATTGCATTCCAAGACAAGGGAGGGTGTGGGAACGAAAAGAAAATTGGGTAGGCAGATGAGATGAACAAGTTTGCAGGTGTAACGGGGCATGGGAAGTCCCAAAGCTAGTTTAAGCGGTGGAACAAGGGAGAGGCCCTTGTCCTGCGTTGGGTCTTGCCTTGCTGCTGATGATGATAGTACGGTAAAGCATTTGGAAAAACATTGAGGGTAATGATGACAAATATGAGGAGACTAAACGTATAGGATGAAGAAAAAGAAAGCACCAGAAATAAAAAAAAGATACAGAAGAAAAAGAAATAGAACAAGGAGAGAGAAAGATTTGACACAGTTTAGCAAAGAAACAGAGAGAGAACATTACAGAAATAAAGAGATACAAAGAAGCAGGCTCCAAAAATATAAAATCAAAGAAATCAATTATTTAAAAGTTTTAAAAAGATCTTTGGTTCCCTTTTAGTATTCTTATTGTAACCGCGTAAACACGCAGAAAAACCTTCCGAATCTATTTAACATAATCATGTGTAAATACAATTCGGAAGCTCCTGAACTATCTGCGCAAACACAGGCTGAGTAAAGAGATCTCTGAAAAAAGTCACACCTTTGCCGCACAGGCGAATCAATGAACACGATAGCAACAATTTGAAAAGGCACGCGCAAAATGAACAGCAGATCGAAATGCGCCCCATGTTTCTCGCGCGCAAATTACGCACGAAATGTACTCACAGATACAGATGCACGTGAATAAGCGTCTCATTTGTTACTTCACTGAGTTGGTAAAGCGCACGCTTTTTGTGAAGGGACCTTTGTGCGCTCGGTAACTACAGCAAAATCGCTACACGTAAAGCCCGAGGCCAGCTAAGGCGTGAGATTCTCCCCTCCTCACCACCGCGAGATAAGGCAGCGCGAGGGAGCGTAGCTCCCCTTCTCTAAGCCGGGCAAAGTAAGCGTAGGACATTAGAGCAGGCGCCACTGCACGATGTGTGACGTGCACTCAATGCGCCATCTTACAGGTAATGCCGAAAACATAGCAGCGGTAAGTGGTAGATATAAGTACCTTGTCGTTTGAACAGTGCACAACGTTCTCCGGGGTGGCTCAGAGGTTAGCGCCTGCCTTTTACGACGCAGTGGTCCCACGTTCTATTCTGAGCGCCGGAATGTCTTTTCACTGGATTTTTTTACTTTCTTGCGTTTTCATATATATATAGATACGTATACATATACGGTGCATGACATTGACGCCGACGTCGACGCCGACACCAGCGGCAAAACCCAGCTGAGATTGTCCATGTAATTGCTATCACAATGAAATTTGCCGCTGTGATCATGGTATTCAAGTGCGGGCCAGGTTTAGAGATATTTAAACAAGCATGTGCCCCACAAGATTGATGGCGTGCAATCATGTGTCACTCTTCTAAACACTCAAGCAGGGGACTACTTATATATTATAGTCTTGTACTAAAGATTTCAATTGAGTGTCTTTTTCTGAATGCGTTTGCTTTACACGGAAGTGTTTATATTCTGTAGTGTTAACCGAAAAAAAAATTTTTTTGAGGCACGCTTATAATCAGACCGAAGATATCCTGTATCTCGATACGCAATTGAGATGTGCAATGGTGAAAGTTACAAGCACCATAAAAGGTTAGTTTTATAGTTCTTTTGCAACAAAGAAATATCAAAATGCTTTTACGTAAAATTTTTATTGGGCGTCCTAATAAAGAACACATACGAGGTGTAAATTGTTGATGATCTTGTGAAGTACGTCCTTGATTATTCATACTTCAAACAAAAAACAAATAGCAATATTCAGTGGGTTACACTGTAAACACGTTTAGAACTGATTTGAGTAAGAATTACTCTTCATTTTCATCAAAATACTTCACTTGATAAAGATGCGATACATATCAAAAGACAAGACGGAACCAACTCCTAGGTCTTTTTAGGACATCTATTACAACACTGGTGTGTAAAATTTATTCTACATAGACCTAGAAATCTTGTCATAAAGCAGGAGACGACATAATGTATTGTTATCGCCTGTTTTCATCTCCGAAGCGTGACAAGCACGTAGGCTTTAGCTACTAAAATGCTTTTTAATTAAAAATTATAAGAATACGGAAAATATATTCTTTTCCTTTGTCAGGTATGCCTACTACATATGATCTCCAAATTCGGAACTCTTCCATATTACAAGGTCCGAGCCGGGGCTGCGAAAGGAAATTTTCGAGGTTCGTGAGAGAAGCACAAGTGGTTTACATACAAGAGTGCCAGGAAATACTTCACGTTACAGGAAAACCAGAGCTTCTCATTGGAGTGAAGGGAAAGGAAAAAAGACAGAACCTTCAAAGATGGTTCTCTAGGTATCTGAAAACACCTACGCCAACGCTGCCTGATGCTTATGCAAATAACTGCACACAACTTAATTTTATGTTGATGCTTGAAGTGTAGTGTATTGTATATTTTGCTTAACATGCTGCATCTTTGAAAGGATATCGCAGGCGTGAAGGCACAATAGAAACGTAACGTAGATTATTACACGAAATGTACACAGCATGATGATCAATGGATAATGCTGTACAGAATATGTTCCTCACGCGCTAAAAAAATTGCGTAGCGAGATAAACTACCCTTATTTCGGTAGCACAGAGAAAAAAAGTATTTATAAGCTACTTTTTAGTGTTCAACTCATAATGATATCTCGTGGATGTTGGTTCAGCGGATGTGATGTAGCTGCTCAGTAAAGGAAATCGTGGACAGCAAATGAGATTAAAAGAAAACTAAAAATTAAACCTGACGACAAGAGGGAGAGTAGTAAAGTGAAGGGTATGAAGATGACAACTAGGTGATAATTACTCCTCGCAGCGATGACATATAAAGCACACTGATTTTTTTTGGACAATATCAATTTCTTTATGTCAAATATTTTCCGACGACTTGTTATGAAAAATACGTGTTCGAGTATTGTACGAACAATAGTTTTATAAGCCAGGAGTGGTGGCCAAACGTACATTACATTGTAGGTACCGTAGTCTTCTATGGGCACGGTTGCACATGACTTTAATGTCACGAGACCAAGAAAGGTGCTCAGTAAATGAAAACGAGCTCATATTTGTACTCGCCCACATTGTCTAGAGATGAACCATTAAATTTACAAGTGTCATTTTATTACGAGATTGATGCAAATAAATCATTATGGATATTACGAACAAGGTTGGTTGTAATCGAACAGTACAAGGCTGGTGCTGATATAAGACATTTATTCACGATGCGACATATTCTTTGTCCGCATACTTAACATTTTACTTTTGCGAACGCACATTCACCCAAGGACCATGCGTCTTTAAAATGAAGCGTAAAAACTTGCGCAAGTTGGTAGGATAAAACCTAATGTACGAACAGCGCAATCTAAAAGTATTTACAGCGTCACAACTCTCGTAATACGCATAACTACGTCTCGGTTGCGCTGTACGTACATTGAACCATTCTATAGAGGCGTGTATTGCATGTCACTAGACGGGTTTGTTCAGTGACCGGATTCGTCAATTCTCTGAAACTCGCGCCATGCTCTATGAACATGTTGGTACAGCGACTGGTTGGACCACGTCCCTGTAACTTCTGCTAAGCACAGGCAAAAAAAAAAAAGATACTGTATTGCAGCCTGAAGGCCCTTTTTTCTCTCAATCAAACTCGCACGCGAAATATGAACTGTAGAAAACATGGTAGTAGAATATAATGACCGCTTTTCATTGCAAGAAAACAAAGACTGCTTTATTTTATTGGAGCACCACAATTATGTCGCGTCTTTTATTCGTTATTGCCAAGAAGATATCCGACTTTCCTAAGGAGACGTGAGCTTTATTGGCTCTATTTGTCTTGAGCCGCACAGATGGTAAACCTACGCGACAATAGCCAGAGAACACTGTTTGTCATCCGCAGTATGCGAGTACGTTCAGCATTGTGTTGGCTGGCTGCTTTGGTTTTGTACGTTATAGGGTGTGCCTGCATAAATTAGTACGTGAAAAATGGCGAGAAACGTTATTCTCGCTATTTTCGTACTGGCCTCGTTATTTACGGTGTTGTGCGCCTTTAGCTTCTTCAGGCGAAGGACCTACAAAGTTCACAAGGTAAGATTATGACTGAAAATTTTCAGATTGAATGAAAATTTTCAGATTTTTAACAATTTCAAGCTTCGTTAACATCATTTTCCCTGCCTGCCGTTGTCGCAATCACGCTCGCAATATTCACATAACCACTTTGTATTATCATTGTAAAAACAGATTAACCAATGGAACATTTCAATGCACGTTTTTTTTTACTTACAACGTGCTAATTGAAAAAAAAAACACTGCTGTTGCACCGGGACTTGATATTCCGAGTGTTCAGTTTCCAAGGAAGCAAACTTTAAACCAATATATAGCATTTACTCTGTGTCGGCGCATACGCAACTGTAGGAGGAAAAGATTTGTGTTTGAATAACGGTGCAGTAAATTTCAAAGAAACACTATAACGAACTTTTGTCTAAACTATGACACCAACACCTCATTGTCAATGGTGCTGCTATGAAGGTAGACGTTTTTAACATCAATACCTTACGAATTGTCACGGTATGAAATACTGATCAACAAACGAAGGAAACTGGGAATGGCGAAATTGTGTTTTAGCGGGTGGCGGCAAGTGGTGGGTCGAAGGTGGACACCACCCTAACACACGGAGACGCGCGCACATGAAGGCTCCCTACACAAAGATGGAGGAGCACGCCCTTTTTCGCCTTTACAGCAAAACTTCATTCAACCCGGCAATCCTGAAACACTTTAACCTCGCTGGCACGAGGAAGTGCCCACATTGTCAGAAAAATTCATCTGACATTTTCCACGTGGTGTGGGAGTGTTAAAAACTCTCAACCTCATCCCTCTACCCAACCTTTGCATTGAGGACTGGTAGGAAGCCCTGCTCGGCTGCTCTAACCTAACGGCCCAACTGGCCTTGGTTGAGCATGCCCAGGACGCTGCCGAAGCCGACGGGCTCCCGTAAAGGGGTGCCCACATTGTGTTTGTACGAGGTGGCCTCTTGAAGACCGCTCCCCCCCCCCCTTTCCCTGTTCATAACTGACAGAACTCCTCCGCTAACCAACGTTTGAGACCGAGGAGGCCTCCTTCATCCCTCCAGTCAGCTGTACGGCTTCATAAAAAAGGTCGAGGATATCTTCACAGAATATTTCTGCCAGACTGAGTTGCACTCTGACAGCATTATGGACGTACTGGCGATTGTTCAGCGCAGAATTTTGATTGAAGTTGGTTGCAGTGTGCAGGCAGCTACCACCACAGTGAAAGAAACTACTTTTTACGTTGTCACACGTCTTCATTTTATGTGAAAAGACTGAACACTGACAAGGCAGGGTACCGGCAGAGGCCAAGCAGCTGATGCTGAAACGTTGCACATGAAGTGAATAAAGTGTGTAAATCAGTGGATAGATGGTGTACTTCAATTCTTGATAATAAATAAGAGCTTCGTGTCAAAAACAAGACCTTAGTGTGTATCCTAATTTAGTTTTTCATTATGTCGCTTTAGACATGCCTAACATACGTGTATCTGTATAATTATGAACATTATGAACCCCCAGAAAACTGCTGTGCAATGTTCTACAACCGAATAAGAACGAAAATATTTAGGCGTGACAATTTCCCTTCATAATAAAGGCGCTAATCCAGCCGGCACGCTGGCACGTTAAAACGTTTTTAGAAAGCGAACATGCCCTGTTTTCTAAATATGTCTTGGAAGGACAGGTATAATCTTGTAACAAATTCATTTTAGGTTTGGTCTACACAGCCCGAATCGTACATTTGGTCACTGTATCAAACCGCACATTTTGAGGCATGCATCATCCTTCTCGAAGAGGTGTTATATTCGAGGGAACACGATGTGGCCTGAAGAAGTAGAGTGTTTTTCAAAAATATTCAAAGAACTCAAGCACACACCCCGAAACCCACAAACACACACACACACACACAAAGCGTAAACTGTGTCGCACTAGAAAGGAGAAAGCACAGACGGCGCCGGCTGCCATCGGACTGATTTTTGGGAAGCTTTATCGCAAAAAAAAAGAGAACAATATTAACCGAGAGCAACATACGCTCTTAATATAGCCAGAAAAGAGTCAAAGCATGCAAGTTTATTACACATGTCGAAGAAATACACGTCACAACTCTTACAAGCAGTCATCAGCAAGCAGGTTCTTGGTTCTGCAGGTGAAGTTTCCATTTAGGATGCCTGTGGCGCGACCTATGTGACGCCAAATGCGTCAGAGGAGCGGCGGAGTAAGCTCACTGCCATCTTCTACTACACTGTATAACAGACGTATTGGGGAGTGTGCAGCACCTAAACATGGCGCAACATCCACTGCACTAATGCCTTGCCAGCGCCACAAGTGGCGGCTTGCGGCCACTTGAGTTTTTGAAAAGCGTGCTATGATTCGTCGTCTCTTTGTTAGCGACACCCGCGTTGCATGCAAGTGCGTGTGCACGAACACAAGATATATAGAACAGATGAGCTTTTAGAAAGTTAAAAGTCTATGACTTTTCAGGCGCATCTAAGGAGGAGATATGATATAAATTTACGAAATCATTCACGTTTTCGATGTGGCGTACCCCTGACGTGCGGCATAGTGCTTCGAAAGCGTGACTGATGCGGCCGGCCAGCGCAAAGGTCGAAGATAGGTCGTCACCATCGGTGCGTGCAAACACTGTTTTTTGTCATTTTCCGTGTGAATTGTCGAATGAACGATTACATTTGTGTCTGGCATGCGTTAGACAACCCCTTGGGATGCGCCCAAGGGAAACCTATGGTCAGTGAACTGCGCCAGTTAAATCTATTAGGCTCTGTTTGTAGACATTGATCGGGCTCCACGAGTCTGAGTTGAAAACAGCACGCACTTGACGAAGACTGAGTGAGAAAACATAGGACGGAGGCACTCACTTGATGAGGCGCTTCCTCCTTGTCAAGCACGCTGTTTCCGCCTCTGCATAATTGACCTACTAGCTCAAGATGTGTTACTCTTGCTTGAGTTCCGAAATAACTAATCACACGCGAGCTTTCGCCGTGATAACTCCGCTGTCTCGTAGTGCAATAGAGCACGCGTTCGCTTGCACGCACTGTGCTGTTACGCGCAACGGCCGTGAATTGGGAAAAAAATCATTAGGGTCTCGCGATCCGCCACGCATTTTGCCTGGCATGCGTGGCTTCTTCCTAACGGTTACTGTTGACGAACTGCACCGCTAAACGAACGGCGATACGGCGGGAAAGGAGCAGCGGCATGAAAAGGACGATTGCTGCATTGATTTGTCGCTTTCTGCAAATGAATTATAAACTACACAATCAAGATCACTTCGCCGGCAGCCGCTCAATTCCTTCATCACTAAATGATATCAGTTAACTTGCGAGGAGCGTCTACTTACAGTGAACTAGCTACATCAAATATTTCATAAATGCAGTCAAAGGGTCACTTGCTTCACGTAGCGCACAGTTATCCAATGTTACCTCCATCTTCTGAAGCACAGTCAAGCCAGAAAAGTAAAAAAAAACTGTCTTCCAGGTGCGTAGTTCTTATACTCATTGGCACAGTTTACAAAACAGAAATTTGCACACGGGATTGTGAAGCACCGCTAACAACCTCACACTGCTCCACTTATGGGTAGGCTCCAGCATGGAGCTCGTCAATTTTTTCCATTAACTACCCCCACCCTGGCGCCACTGGCACAGGGAAGTTTTGGTTACCTTTGATACAATATGTACATACTTTCGATCTTTTATCATAGAGATATTTTGTCATTTTAACACGAATTTGCTATTACAATATGAACCCTAAAAGCTTTGTACCAATGAGACTGCTTTTCCCACTTCAGTTCCTAGATTCTAAAGAACCAATATGGACATACCGAACGAGCAGACAAACGGACATTTTATGCGAAGTGGATGCTATGATCAATATCTCCTCCACGGAAATATTTTTCACTCGAATGTCTTACGATCGCAAAGGAAGGTAAGCAGTTCTGTCTTAATAAATTTGCATACAGAAATTCGCTTTATAAAGTGCAAGATACCAACCTAAATGACATTTGCGTAGTAATTATTTGGACAGTAAGCACTCGCTTAACACAAGTGTTCGTTTTCTGTACTCAGTTGTAGTGCATAATCAAAAATTTCGGCAGGACCACGGTGCACACGGAGTTTACAAAGTTATTCTTGCTGTTATCTTCTTGTAGAACGTATGCCGTGCTGCGTGGCGAATTTCACGAACGCCGAAAGAAGCACATGCTTGTGCACACGCAAGGTACGTAAAGAATTCGCGCTCAAATTTTATCATAATTTTGTTCACTACTGAGATGATTTCATGTTTTCACAATGCGACTTGGGGGGCATTTTTTGTTTGCTTCTTTGCAAATCTACAGAGTATGAGCCATTGCAGATAGGATGGTTTGAATAAGTTTTTGGGGCTCTGAAAATGCGGGTCATGTTCGTTTCTTCTATCATGCTAGTTTCAGTGACGTAAAAAAAGAAAAATAGCGGGGCTCGAAAGTGTGCTGCGAAGACCCTGGACAAAGTTTTCCAACAACCAAGAGAGTAAGGGCCTGATAAGTGCAGGCGTGCTGCAATATTGCCCAGTCATAGAGATTGTGACTACATGCGGAGGTCGGAAGACTATCGATTAAGTTTAGCCACGGACACACTCCCCCAATTTAGAACTTTATTAAACAATAGACGTTATTTTCAATACATTGTGCAGAGCTGAGATATCAGAGGCGGCTTGCGGATGGTGGATGCCAATTTCGCATCAAGCGAACTGACATCTAACCAATCAGGCATTTGTACTTCTAACAAAAGAGATCTCTAGTTTTTGCTCCAGTGCATCGCGACACATCTATGAGCGAAGGCATCGTAGTCTCGTAGAGGTAATGTTCCTTCATACTCTTAAAGCTAGGATATTTTATTGTCGTCTAAATAAACTAAATGAATCAAATAATTGAAATGCCAAGTGACGAACGTGCACAACAACGTTCATAACCACTAAGTAGAGTCCACTGCAGCACATAGACAACGACATCCCATCGATATGCTCATAAAGCAGTGTATATTCGTGGAAGAACACCCTACAAAACCGCAATCTCCGCCTCAAGTATGCATCTAGTCAAACTTTCGGTAAGCAGTTAGCTTTTTCTGCTTGATGATTAGGGTTACGTGTACGACACGTTGTGGATGACCCATTTTAGAAATTTGAAGCTTGCGCAGCTACCCATTCCAAACTCTATAAAATGCTCCATGTGCTGGCAACACTGGTCGATAAAACAAACACGATCGCGATTAAGAGGGTCAACGCGACCCTTTCACTTGGTCCTGTGCTGAAGTTTCTTACTAGTGGCGCCGCATTGCGTTGCTTCGTCAAAGGCGAAAGGATGCTGGCCGCGCACCGCCTGATTCATTTTGGCATAAAGGATTTCACTGGAGAAATAGCGGAAATAGTTTCGCAGTGCGCACCAACATCGTGCCGCTTCGGTGAACCGCATCACAATTCCTTCGGGTTGAAGAACCTCTTTAGTGAGGGAGCTCATGCATGTGTAGCGGGCCTCTCCTCGAGGTGCTAGCACTTTTGCTCTAGGTTTCTACAATGCTACGGGCAAGGCCTTATCAGTTTTCGAGGTAACTGCGCTGCGACTCACGCTGCCCATTGCACGTATCCCATTAAGTTGCATTCTCGCGTGAAAAGCTGAATACGCATGCCATTCACTTGATTCCAGAACGGAGCCGTGTCTGTGCTACTGTAGCTTCAATTGAGATAAGAAAAATTGTTGATTGATTGATTTATACGTGGCGTTTAACGTCCCAAAACCACCATATGATTATGAGAGACGCCGTAGTGGAAGGCTCCGGAAATTTCGACCACCTGGGTTTTTTTAACGTGCACCCAAATCTGAGCACACGGGCCTACAACATTTCCGCCTCCGTCGGAAATGCAGCCGCTACAGCCGAGATTCAAACCCGCGACCTGCGGGCCAGCAGCCGAGTACCTTAGCCACTAGACCACCGCGGCGTGGCGAGATAAGGAAAATTGTAGTCTCGACAGTTCTAGGAGTGCTCTTTTCCATTCACTGATTCATAATATCAGGCATCTGATGAATAAGGTCGTGCGCTTCTAAACACGCACTTGTTCATGTTGGCAGAAGTTGATATTCAAAGCAGATATGTGCACGTACACTACGCACGCTACGAATGCACGGACATGATGTATAGATGCACAAACGTACATATACGCTACGCACGCGCGTCTTTCGCGCACGCGTTTGCATGTCTTTATAACACACATGCGAAATCAAAAATGTTCGGGGCGAAGGATCATTGAATGATTGATTTGTGGGTTTAACGTTCCAAAATCACCATATGATTATGAGAAACGCCGTAGTGGAGGGCTCCGGAAATTTCGAACACCTGGGGTTGTTCTCTGAGCTTACGGGCCTACAACATTTTCGCCTCCATCGCAAATGCAGCCACCACAGCCAGGATTCGAATCCGCAACCTGCGGGTCAGCAGCCGAGCACATTAGCCACTAGGTCACTGCAGCGGGGCTTGAGGCAAAGTATCAGAGCAGCGTGATTTGAGAATGGTTAGCACTAGGACTTGCAGAGAAAACAAGCATACGAGAAGAATTGCTCCACACTTCACGCACCGAATTTCCTAAAGCGTTTGCTTATATAAACAAAACTATACTGCCCAGTTGAGAAGCCCTAATATTGATAAGAAGGCACCTAAGCTAAATAATCGTGTGCTTTGCCGAGGAGAATTGAGTAGTCGCGAGCTAATTGATTGGAACAAACAACCGTAATGTCCGTCACCTTTGTCCCAAAAGTTGCTGAATGACGCCGTTATCCTGAACGCGTAGTCTGCCCCCATCCCGAATGATGCGTTGCCATCTTTCCACCATGGTGTCACTCATTTCGGCACACTGCAACGTTCTCTGGATATCGCTTTTTGTTTTCTTGCTTGCATGAGTGGCACGGTGAAAACAAAAGACTATGTGGCCACTTCTCAAAGTGCGCTATGTTGTAGCATGTCTCCTTACAATGCAAACCCTGTCAGAACCGTTTCCAGACACAGCCACTAGGTGGCGAGTGCTCAGTTGGAGTGTGAATGAAGCCAAGTTACACATAAATAAGTAAGTCTTCCTGGAAAAAGCATTTACCAGATGAAACGTCAGCCATTTTGTCTCTAATTATGAAGGCCTAGAGAACATTTTTCTTTTTAGTATTTCACTGTTTACTGTTCTCCTCAGACTAGGGCGTCTTCTGGCAGTACGCGTACGCGGTCAGCTACTGAGATCATTTCCTAATTCGCCAGCGTGGACGAGAATAGCTATTGTGGGGAGTCTATCAAAACTATACTTTTTTAGGGCACACCACTTCAGGGTCATGGCTTGACGCCTAGACATGTGACGTGAGTACATCATGTGACATGATCATGCTCTCAATTAGATGGATAATAACAGGCCTAAAATGATGATAGCAATTATTGAGACGTCATTAGAACTAGCTCACATGTTCTAAATAAATACAATTTACATTAATGACTAAGCATTCATTGCCCTTTTAAGTTATAAACGGGAAAAACGCCTTCAAAACGAACAGTATACATGCGCGCGGTGAAGCATCCCTTTGTTTTTTTAGCCAACATTCCATCACCGCCTGGCTCGTGTGTTGGCTGCCACAATATTTTTGAGCGTTCTCTCCTAACAGACCTCTTAAACGTAAAGATGACGTAGGTTTACACGAGGATGCAACGCTTTTAGGCTTCCCCTATAGGCACTAACAGTTGGGGGGTTTCAACAATATTTACGACATCTGAGACAGCTTTAGGAAGCGTTCGTTTAATGGAGTTTTAAATGCCGTGGTCATGTGCGCGCGACTTTCGCGCTAACTTGGCCAGCTGTTTCCGCAAGAATCACTAAGAATATTGCGCTCACCATGAATATCACAATTACCATCGCGAATAGGAGAGCTGGTAGGGTTTGGGTGGGCTAAAATGCGACAAAATTTTAATATTTTAAATATCTATTTTTTTCTTCACTCTTTACATATAAACATCAGCACAGAAACTTTTATTTTTGTACAAAGTGAGTACTACGTAAATATTGCTACGTTGCCACTCTTCAAAACCTTATTTTAAAGATAAATCATAATGCTCCAGACGTCTCCTTTTGCCCGAACCTTCGGGACACAACGAGACGCTGCGTGGGGCAAAACGAGAGAGTATAAAAAAGTCATTCCTGAGTCTTCTGCATTGGAAAGTTTTCAAGCTTACTCTGGGAACCCTTACGCAGTTTTATTAAGCCCAGTACTGGGACTCCCTGTATTGAGTCTCTACAGAATGTGGTGGTGTATTGCTACGAAACTCCTTGCAGATCCATCTGTATTTTTCAGTGCAAATGTTCTTTTGTGGAACGCTTGCACCTAAACTGACTATTCAACAATGGGAGGCAAACAGTGTTTTGACCTATCTTTTACACTCCTTTTTGCCGTTTGGTGCGGAACTGCTCAGGCGTGTCACGGCTTCTAACTTGGGCCACGGGACTTTTTGAGGCAATAGATATAGAACTCTGCTAGACTCTGATTTTCTAACGCTTTTTTAAATTAGTGTATGGCGTAAACATTGTCTAACCTCAATACCAAGGCGTGTTTGTGAAGGACTTTACTTGGAGATTCTGCCACTTTTTATGCTTGTGTTGATAGCATTTTAGAAACCACGGAAAACCCTTGATGCAGTGTGAATCAAAGGAGTCAAGTTCTAAACGGCAATCAGTGCTTTTCACGTGGTTTCCATTTCAGGAAGCTCCCCGCTATAATATTTTTGAGGTCCTAACTGTCCTGAACAAACAATTATAACATAATATTTGTGTGAGCTAATGATTTAACTAATAAGACACTCTCCGAGGCAATTGAGTGCCTTTTTGTCCTATTTTGCCCCTCTAACATCCCCCCCCCCCAAAAAAATCCGCTTTGTTCCCGGGCACAAAACAAACTGAACTTTTGGTTTTATGTAGCTCTAGTGTAAAGTAACAAAAGAAATATTGACGTTGCTGTGCTGAAGCAGGAGTAGCTTTATGCATGAATCCGAATATTTGGTTGTGTGAAATTTTGACCCTTTGTGACGGGTCAAGAACACACTGACACCAGCCGCCAAATTCTTTCCGCGTGAATGCTGTGAGCAATAACAAACTTTAACACATGAAAAGGTACACAAAAACCGGAAAGTTTTAACGGAAAAGAAAAACAAAAAAGTAGTTTTATTATTCGTTACAGAGTTCACCAATTCAAAAAAGACGCGTTGTTCGCCGTGTATTTTTTTTACCCCACCCAACTCTGAAGTGTGCAGCCTTCCATCTAAACTATTCGTAAAACTCAAGCTTGGGGTATTTCATGCGTAACTCGCCATTACGAATAAGGCTGGTTCTTCATTTGCCTTCCTTGAAACTTAACTTCAATTTGAAAGCTCCGCAGTAGACGATTACTTGTGATACTTCAAGTCATCATTACAGTTGCTTGTTAGAAGTGCCACGAAATTGTATAACCAGAATTGGAATTCCCTGGGCCCCTTACCCAAAAGCTGATATCAGCATAATTGTGTTCTCATAAAGGCAACATTTGGACGATTTACTAAATTCGCAGTAATAATATAGCAAGCTATTCGCATAGTATATCATACGCATAACAATAAGATGCAATAAAACTATAATGTACTTAGTTAGATGCTTCTTAGTATACTCAATGTTTTTGGTTTTAATTTCAGGAGGCGTTTATAACCTACACGAAGAGATGCTCTATATGAGTTCCGATCACAGCTGCGCAGTATTTATGGTGACAAGACTGTTCGGTGGTACGCTTTCTTCTTTCGCGCTTTGTTAGTTTGCGCTAACCATGTGCATCTTTTATAAGGAAGCTGGCTAAAAATATTTAGGAAAATTTTTGCTATGTACAGGCGCTCTCAAAATTATTCGGAACGCCGGACTGGCAGCTGCTTGCGATGTGTACCCGTAGAAAATTAGTACAATTAACACGTGCATAGTCTCCTTAAAAACAAGTGTTCCCGCACTATAGTAGACATGGATTAGCGAAGCCTTGCTACAAAACAGCAGCCCTACTTGCCCCTTAGAGCTTTGATAAAGGAATCTGCACGGACAAGCTGTGTGCGCATGCATCGCGTTGGAGCATGCCTGCATGCATGTATGAGTGCTTCGGTGTATTTTTTTTTCTTTTGTTACTTTGGGCCCATTTTCATCATTTTATCGGAACATTTACGGCAGTTAACTGTGACTAGCACTCGTGGAGGGTGGCGTGTTATCCTGATGCATAATAAGCATGTCAATCAAACGCAGTTACGTCTCGATTCTTTGTTTTAGTTTTATGAAAAAATAAACCATGTTATTCCTATTACAAATATATATCTACTGCTATACTAGTTATTTTGGCTTTAGGTGAGACAGACTATCGCTGACTAGCATGATACACCACCTCTGAGCAAAACCAATAAATGTCTGTGACAGCAAACGCTGAGACGCAATCGAAATGTAAAAATACTCTTTACCAAGCGCTCAGATTTTGTAATTGATTGGTGCACAAAGGCAGGTGACCCGTGATATGTGGTTCACGAACAAAGAACTCTGGAATCGTGTGAAGCTGATCAGAGTAAGCACAAAGTCCATCTGCCTGAAATTTGGTTTGACAGACATACCACTTCATTTCATTTTCTTAAACGCTTCAATGACGTTATCACAGACATCTGTAAGGGGATTGTCTGTACTAGTACAAATTGCCCTCGTATAACCAAGCTTGTAAAAACTGATATTGCGGAATCATTTACGTGAAACCAAAAAATATTACTTTCCAAAAATAACAAACGTGGTTTCAACAAGGCAGCGATGCTGTTATGCCGCCTTACTCTGACACCGTCTCTAATAATTGATACAGATAATAGTGATAACACGTCGCAAGGAGTCGGCAAGTATTTAATTGTTTTTAATTACGCAGCGCGAAGTGCTCAGGGCCCCCATTTGTCCAGTGCTTATTATCATATTGCTGAAGAGCCTTAGGAGCAACACAACCTCAATCTATATGCACTATAAAGCGTGGCTGTTTGGTCAAGTTGGTACGTCATCAGAACTGTTATAGTGCGAGCTCATAATGACGACAAAATACAAAAAGAGGAGTGCTAACTCTTAAGTGAGTTTATTGTGCAGAACACAAAAACATTTTTAGGATATAAAAACATAGAGCAGACAGTAGGATGTTGTGTTTTCTTGGTAGGGAGAGGTGCCGATGGCGGAAAACCACCATGTGATTGTGAGAGACACCGTAGCGGAGGGCTCCGAAAATATCAACCACCTAGTTTTCTATAACGTGAACCTAATTGTAAGCAGACCGGCTTCAAGCATTTTCGCCTCCATCGAAAATGCGTCCGCTGCCGACACTTGGAAGTTAGCGCCCGTCTTCGTGTCATTTTATCATCATTCTGAGCTCGCTCTATTACAATCGGCCCAAGGGAGATAAATGTTCTCTCTAGGTACACCACTCATGCGCACAACTTGACTGTATGTTGTAATAAAATAGAAAGTTTGGCAAGTTGGTTTGACGGCATTCTTTGTAACATTTTCCATTCTCCCGTCCATTGTATGCGCACCGAAATGTTATCAAGATTGACTGTTCCGTCGGTGCACTTCGCCAGCGAGCACCTGCGTGTTCGGTGTTGCAAATTATTTTGAGAGCTCCTGTGCACATGGGGACAATTTCAAAGTAGGGGTAGTAAGATGGTCGACACCTACTCCGGGTAACTGGAGGAGACTACAAGATGCACTAAGTGCGTATTTTGATTAAGCTGTACACGCCTGAGGTATCATTGTTTAGGTCTCCTGTTCAAATTTTGTACAATGTTCTTGGTACATAGCCATGATTATTGTATTTCGGCAAAGTGTATTTCGGGAAAATGTCAAGAGTGGGCTCGAATATTGTAAGTGATGGAGAAGGTGAAGCAAGAGAGAGGTGACACGTAGCGAGCGCGCTCCAGGCGAGGAAGAGAGTGAAGTCATCGCGCAATGCGAGGAAAGCCGTGACCTACTAAGCACCACCCCAACACCTGCAGTGAGGGGAGTGCGGTCGGGCGTTTCGGCACGGAGACACGGATGAAGAGAATTACTCAGGCTTCTCAAAGAGCTGCTTCAGATCTAAAAGAAGATTGTACTAGTGCCTTATGTTCTATAGTACCAGCTTAGACCAGTGGCACACACAGGTAAAATTATTATTACCATTTCTTGACTCTGACTGCTTATTCAACCACCTGATTTCTCATATTGCGATAGTAACAGCTGTAATAGAATATGACTCGCCCAGTCAGTAGTGAAGAACTGCAATTACAACACTTCAATAAGAATATTACTATCATATGCAAAAATAAGGCAAGTCTTCTCCACGTATGCGCTCTGTTGGCTTACCATTTCTGCACCGGCAATGCTCTAGAATGATGCTTGCTCAATAATAAATTATGGGTAAAGCAGCTGGAAATTTGATATTGTTCGACCTCTCCGTTAAAAGCAACTATCACAATTTTCAATGTTAGATATTGGAAAAGATTTAACAACAATCGGTATCATACACGCGCATATATATCAATACATATGAGATGTTGTTTATGATCAGTAGAGATAATATCACTTTGCAGTTGTTGACCATGTTCATTGATATCCAACATTTAACACACTCTTTTATAATTCTAGGTACATTTCGCAGCTACGATTTGCGACTGAAAAATTCATCTGTGGCGAAAGGGCCTCGAAAAGACTGTCTTCGAAAATTCAAGAGGCGTGACCGCAGAGGACAAGTGATCTACAGGCCGATGTGTCAGGCTATACTACACAGCAAAGCGGAAACAACAATGCCAAATTCAACAGACAAGGCCTAACTATTAACCAATTGCTGTGCTAACATGTTTCTCGTGAAAGTATCTTCGCAGAAAGCAAATTTGCACACTATTGTGATAAAACTTGATGATTTTTAGCTGCTACTTGGCTGCTTAGTTTTATAAAAAATAACAAGTCCGGGCATCATTTTATGAGGTTTCTAATTGCCAAAAACGCTCAGAACATACCTTTGGACTTGCAACTCAATAGCGAATCCTTAGGGTGTTAAGGATGCTATACGTGAGGCTCCGTGCTTTCGGTGTTCATTTTTCTTGAAAACCGGCGGGTGTTTTTCGAAGTTTATATTTCTGGCGGAAGTTCACGTTATATCGAAGTTGTGTTGCCATAAATTTCCAATTCTCTGAAATTCGGGGTTTTACATTTTCTCCAAAAACCCGAAAATCTTACATCACTTCATGACTGCATACTAAAATATCTAAACACACGAGGCACATTTTATTTTTCTTAGGTTTGAATGGACAAAGATATATAGGCACAAGCGAAATACATGAACTTTGAACACGTTTATTCTCATATAAAGCGTTAGCTTAAAGCTTACTGTAAAACACGCAGGAATACTTCGCGAGACTGCGGTCAATGATCGAAGCGCCCTCCTGTTTTCTGATGACTCCCAGCTTTGAAACGTCTAGAAACAAGAGGCAACAGAAAATCCAGTGCACAGCACCGACGCATTGGCTAATCGATGTTGTAAAGTAGCACTGATATTTCACAATGTCACTCAGGAGCTGGCACAGGTAATCAGTTTCAAGAATCACTACGTGAACAAATACACCAGCTTCTGCTAAAAAGAACGATGAGTAGCATGCGAAACAGCGCATAAGTCGGTTCATCACGGGGCCTTTGCCCGATGAACGCGTCCTTCCAAGTGGAGCGCACCATAAATCTACTGTATTGTCTGTTGCTGTCACTCATCCCGAATTGTTCTTGGAGCCCGTCACGGGGGGGGGGGGGGACGTGAGTTCATAGCGCATCTGCACAATCTCGTTTGATGTCACAGTGTAAAAGGAGAATCCACCAGCTCTTACATAGTCACTTCCACATGTCCGATTGAGCTAGCGCGTGTCAGCGCGTTCGACACTGCTTGGGCCAGCTGTTGCACATTCCCAGTAAGGTTTGTAAAGTCGCACTACATATTGAACTCGGTTATACGCTGCTTTGCCTCTAAGATATGTGCATAGGCTTCTAACATGCCGGAAAGTTCATTCCTCACATTTGGGTTTCCATTTTGAACACTAACAAAACGATTCTTCGGTGTACTGGAGTTGATCGCACAGGTTCCTCTCAGATGCCTCTCTCTACTCTTCGGTGACAAAAGAGTAGTATCTGTTAAAGTCTGCGGTAATCATCAAGTATCCGTTCTCCTCAAGGAGGCCACCCCCTTAAAAAATATCAAATTTTTTCCGTGATTGCTGGATATTTGTAAAAACGTTTTGTGACAGTGCGATACAGTAAAATTACTTGAAGTGAGCAATTTTTTTGTCCTGTGTTCTTTTCTTAACCAAACCTGTGCTCCCCTAAGCAAGACTATTTCTACCCTTGTGATTCTTTCTGTGGGTCAACTCCTAAATAGTGTGTGTGTGTGTGTGTGTGTGTGTGTGTGTGTGTGTGTGTGTGTGTGTGTGTGTGTGTGTGTGTGTGTGTGTGTGTGTGTGTGTGTGTGTGTGTGTGTGTGTGTGTGTGTGTGTGTGTGTGTGTGTGTGTGTGTGTGTGTGTGTGTGTGTGTGACAGGAGAACCAATCACAACGCTAGAGGCACAGGAAGTGAGTAAAACACCAGCACCGATGTGCTGATTATCGTAATTCCGTGCAGTGACTTACCACTCTTCATGGGACGTTAAACTCCCATAATTATTTGTGTTAACGCGCTGACGGGCTGCAAAGCGTCCACCTACTTCCTGGGAACCTTATTGTTGCGTGTATTTCAGCCGCTCCATGGCTCAGTCATCTATTTCGTATCTCGTGCATATTACCAGCAGATATCAACAAATCTGTCTTTTGGCACCCTGGTAAGTGGACAAAAGTCAAGAGGACCGAAACCTAATAAGCGGGTGCCGCAGTGGCGCCTGTCCAGTCCCTGCAACGGTTGTGTTTGGCCAGGCACCTGTTCAACACGCTAGTCATCTCCGTGACTATAGGTCTATAATAATATTGTCATTCATTTCAATAGCCACTGCACCTTTAACGACTGCCACGCAATAAAGCATACACGTACATCCTGCGATACATTCTTGTTACGCCCACTGAGCCTTCCCTCATTCCTACAAACTTCATTGACATTATTCTTACTTCTTACAAGTTGGCAGAATCATCCAGCACTTTACGAATCAGCTCTCAGCATTGCCAACAAACTTCTAACGGCAAAACAAAGCTTGTTTGTCGTATACCAACATCGAGATGGAACCTTTACTAAGTGTCAACAAGGAATTTGTATTCTGGACATTATTTCATACACTCAGACGCCAATGTTCAATCAGCACTCTTCGAGCACCCTGTTGTTCCTTCCGATGTGGTTTTCTTTGCAGGAAACCTATTTATATTGGTGCATGTGTAGCAGTTTCTGTTTGAAGAAAAATTCGATGACGCTTGAACTTTGCCTTCAAGAGTAGAACGCGGGAGCGTAATCGGGCTCTATGTTTGTCACCTCATTACTCGTCATTAATTGCTGGCGCGACTTCAGTTCTCGGTGAATGCTTCAACTACGACGCCAAAAAAACGTTAGCACGCGTAACTTCACCCTTTTGAAGTATTTTAGAATTTATGTATAGCTGCGAAGTGCCCACCAGGTCATCTTTCTCCCTTTGGAGAGTAAGGAAAGAGTCGACAACGCGTCGAGAAAGCGAACAGAAACCTACGCAGTCGTTGACCTTTTCTGGGTGCTTCGAAGTGGTTGTGCCTTTAAAACATCCACTCATTGTGCGATCCTGATGCAACGACGTCTGGCGTGATTGCACGTCCCGGCCACGCAAACTATAATCGTTAAGAAGGCTCGTCTAATTACACGAGACTTGTATTTGTTTCTGAAGCAGTTTCATTAATGACCATTTGGTCAAACGCCTGCTTGCTACGTAACAGCCCCGAGTCGAATTCGCACTCGAACTGCTTTTATATATTTATTTGCTTCTAGTTATCTGAAATTTTTTCTCATGGAGAACCCTATTTTTTCACTCACAACCAACAAATGCTGACGCAGGCCCCAGAATTTCAGCGATACAAGCTCTTTATCACTCTCCTGTTGATATCTAACGTGCAGTATTCTCATTGCGGATTTGAAAACTGGTGTAGAAAGTGCCCTACGTGTTGCACTTGTAATGGCCCAGCACTAAAGTTGCTGTTACACTGGTTTTTGGTATGGCCAGTCGCCTTTAAAAAGTTTGTCTAAAATCACTTCCTTGCGCTCGCCCTAGGTACACATAACCTGCCACCACTGATGGTAAATTCTTAACATTTACGTAGCGTTAAGTGAGCATTACATTCCTAACTTTATTTGGCCTCGCAATTATTCGGCAATATATTTTCGTAAACAAATTCGAATGTAGCGTTATGGTAATGACACGTTTCAATTTTCGAAATAAAACTGTAACAAATTTCTTTTGCCCTTAAAAAATTTGTAAAAGCAACTCGTTCCAAAATTAGAAGGAACAAAGAAAGACCTTTTGTTCCTGTTTTAGTGGAACATGTACAACACTGGTGTCTACTTTTGCACTGGTTTCACGAGTCCTTTTTTGGAACTAAGCGGAACGCTTCAAGTGTCGAGCAGTGACACTCGTTAGCCTGAGCTAAACCTGTGTGTGTTATTTTCGTCTGATAATCGCGCTTTAGGAAGGTCTGTACGTTGTCAGCCATCTGTCGGTCTTCACGTGACATTGTAGTTTTCACTCCAAAAATATACCTCCTCACTTATCTTTCTGCTTGTATTCACTGAAGATTCATAATTACATAGTATGAGGAGACAGTACATGCCGAGAGTCAACATTTTGTAGTTGTACCTTGTGCAGCTTTCAAAAAAGTAAGTAAACTTGCTTCTTCTTTAGGAGACGGGGGGGGGGGGGGTGACTGAGAGTGTACCTGCACCATATTAGTATACGAAGATGATGAGTTTTCATGGCAACTTGCCACAGTAGGCGAAGAACAATTGCAAGCATACACCACGTAAGTTGGTGTGTATGTGCCTTCCTGTGCCGCATGCCTACGTTACGATGTTGCACTATCCTCATATCCATGACTCATATCCATACTATCCTGATATCCATACCATCCTCATATCCATATATGCTGACGATATTCATCTATGGACTTCAGCTTTAACTCGTCTACAAGTACGTGCAAGAGTCCAGCAGGCTGCCACCCTGACATGATCACATCTCCGCAAGCAAGGTCTTTCCGTCCCAACGGAGAATCGTGCATTGGTTGTGTTTACTTGCAGAGCGATGACACAATACCCCGTTACCATCAATGGACAAAATATTCCCTACCAGAAGAGCCATCGCTTCCTGGGTGTGATAATTGATAGGGACCTTTTGTGGAGTGCCCACTGTAATTACCTGAAAAGAAGGCTAACTTCCATCGTCCTTATAATGCGGTTCCTCTGCGGAAAATCTTGGGGCACATCGATAAGGTCAATGATGCAGCTATACAGGGCACTGTTTCTAGGATTTTTGCACTACAGGTTGCCGTTACTGGCAAGTACGTGCAAGACGAACATCCGCACCCTCGAAAGTCTGCAAGGACAAGCACTACGCGTGTGCTTAGGATTGCCGCGATGCACCTCAACCTACGGGGCAAGTATGATCGCAAGAGAGCATCCAATTCAAACATACATCACCACTGACACTTTGAGAGCCCACATAAGACACCTCTGCCGAGTTACTGGTCACCATGTTGCAGTGTTGCCACTTCAAAGACTACAAGCCATGTTTTCAAAGATTATTTCTGCTCATAGAGAATGCCTTCCTTTTGGCTTCACTCCAGCAACAAAACCAGCGTCTTCTCCGTGGTGCCTACAACAACCACAAGTGTGCCTCACTATTCCGGGATAACGAACAAGAGCGGTCATTCAACAGTGGTCCTACGACAGGTGACATTATCGCTACTCAACGAGAAATACACCCAGAGGACCCACATTTACACCGATGGATCGGTCTCGGCTGACAGCTCCACAGGTGCTGTTGTCATCCCGACGTACCAGGTCACTACAAAGTTCAAAGTGTCGCATAGGACAACATCCACAGCAGCGGAATGTGCCGCCTTACGTGCTGCTATACTTTATATCGCGGAAGCCCGACCTCAAAAATGGGCTGTGTTCTGCGACTCCAAGGCATTCCTTCAGAGCTTGCAATCAGCTATACGACAAAGGGTGCATCAACAACTAATGAATAAAATAAGAGAAATGCTTCACGAAGTTTTATCGAAAGGGCATGACGTGGTGTTCCTGTGGTTACCGGGACATTGTGGTATTGTAGGTAACGACCTTGCTGATAATGCGGCCCGATCCGCCCACGCGGACGCCCAGACAACCCCGATTCCATTGTCGAGAACCGATGCTGCAAGGGGCCTTCACTCGTTCGCTAACACAATGTCGGAAACTTGGCTGAGTGATCCCAGTGTCGGGAATCACCGCCTACACAAATTGAACCCATCAAGAAAGCTTCAAGTTCTATCGGACCTCTCCCGCCAGGATGCAACGTTATTGTGCCGCCTGTGGTTAGGAGTAGCTTTTACGAAGGCGTACTCCTTTCGCATAGGAATGGCTGATAGCTCACGATGTGAATCGTGCGACACTGACGAGACAATAGAACATCTACTGTGTTCATGTGAACGTTTTGCGAGCAAACGCAACTTGCTACGCGAAACGTTAGAGACACTAGACAGTAGACCTTTTTCCGAAGAGAAGATTCTTGATTCATGGCTCTACGCGTCGCAGGCCAGCAAAGCGACGCGGGCATCGCTAAGTTTTCTAAAGACGGCCGGACTACACGACCGCTTATAACCGTGCAATGGACAAGGTCACATCTACACACACGTTGCCCTTCACTTCTCTCTCTCTCTTTTCTTTTAATCCCCTTACCCCTTCCGCCAGTGCAGGGTAGCAAACCGTACGTGCGTCTGGTTGACCTCCCTGCCTTTCATTTCTTTCCTTCCTCCTCCTCCTCCTCTTCCTCCCTCCCTCCTCTTACGATGTTGAAAACGGCATTGCACCCCCTGTTACTAGTTGTGACGTATATGGGCAACAGGTGAGTAAGAATATGACTTATGCGCATGCTGAGTTCATGCGTTTTAAGATGAAGTGTTGCTGAGTACCGATGAGCAGAGCACAAGTGCACTGTATTTTGGGTTTCAAACTATTAGGGACAACTTGCGATTTGACCCGTATATTTTGATTTTGGGTTATTCTCAAAATCACGACAGGCTGAAAATTTGTATTACGAAGAAGTATAGTTACAGCAAGAGGGCAACC